TCGACAAGTTCGAGCTCCATCTGGGGTTCATCGGGGAGCGCTTTCGCACACTGGGTTAGGGAAAGATGGGAAAGTCTTGATTCTGGGTAATTCAGTTGCTGATTATTCGCGGAACGCCTTTCACGGCAGAGAAATTGGTAGATATTTGAACCAGAGTACGGTGCTATCGAGATCTCTGTCTACTCCTGCAGCAAATGACTCTGAAGGTTATCTTTTTGTTACCATCATCACCTTGTTATCTTTGTTTCCTCCCTTGTGGTAGAGAATTTAAATGCAAATCTTCCATCCTGTGTTCTATTTATACTATTGTCGTGCAAAGTGTAAATTTCTGGGTACTGCCTTTTCAGCTGATTTTGCGTATGTAATGCAAATAAACATGGACAATTAGGAGATTTCTACACCGATGCAAAATTAGGTTCTCTGTTTTGACATGTCATTGACTATGCTAATCCCAGTGTCTAACTATGCTGGAGGAGCTGGCCCTTTGTCGGAGTATGAAAGGAGAATTGCATCAGGAGAACTTGTTGATGGAGATGACTTTCAGGTGCAGTCACTAATTTCAATCAAAGGAGCGTTGGCTAATTGGAATTTTTGGATGCTCTAATTGTTGTCTGACATTTGTCTTAGGTAGATACCATTCAAGAACTGCAAAGGCTCTATCGGGAGCTTGCTGAGCTTGAAGAGAGTTGCCAATTGGATAGATATACTGCATCCAAGAAATCTCAGAGGTAATTCATGTGTTGTTACTTAAATTTGACATCTTGTTAATATTTGTTGGTGCATTATTTTTTTTCTGTTGTACATTGAGTTTTCCTTCTTTATTGGTCTCCTGTGGTTTATTTACTGGCCTTCAGGGTTTTTGCAGGAGTAGGTGGCTATGGTCCCGTCTCATTCCACAATCTTCATATTCACCAGTCAAAGGTCTATACCTGTATGGAGGAGTAGGCACTGGAAAAACAATGCTTATGGACTTGTTTTTTGATCAACTGTGAGCACTCTGTGAATTCCATTCTGATGCATTCTGTGGATACTAGTTCCTTGACATGTCTGTGTAATTGGGGAGATTTACCATGTCTAGGTGCCCTATGATTGTTAAAGCATAGCTCTAGTCATGATTAAGTTCACAATATAGATGTCCTTTCAAATTCTTTATTGGCTTCTCTTCACTGGCAGGTGGTCTCATTCAGAATTAAAAAAATGCAAATCCTGAGTTTGGCATTGTAACTAATTATTGCTACTGACTGATCATGAAAAATTTATGGAAAAGAAATTCTGATTACTGTTTTAAAGAGCCATATAAGACTGTTCTCTCACTTTGTTATTTTCTGTTCTCTTGATCTTTTTCTGGAGCAACGCCTTAAAATCTCATTTAGATGGCAAAAGTGAGGAACTAAATAGGAAGTTTGCCCTTGATACACACCAGTCCATGTCGTTTATATCAAATATATGCAAAATGGTACCAACCCCTTTTATCATTTTTTGTAACTTTGCTGTTCCACATGTCCAGGACTGTCCAGTCTTGAACCGGCCAAGCTAAATTTAGTTGTATTGTTATTGAAAACCCTTGGGTGAGATCCAGCTTGGCATATGACAAAATACTTTAGGAAAGACAAATTGTCATTCAAAATGTTAATAATATTTTATGCCAATCAGTCTGCTTTTATGAGATAAGTGGTCTGGCTTTTGCTAAATTATTTCAAAGTCGAGCCTGAGGCTAGTGACAAGTTAATCAGATGTTTGCTATAATAGTATACCTGCAAATGGATGCCCAAGTATGATGAAGTTTAACGTAAATCGGAAGCATATAGACTTGAATTGTAACATTCTACGTGGATGCTTGACAGCAAGCATTTGGTATTTCCATTGTCAATCTTAATGAGGTAGCAAAATGCATCCCACTTTTCTCAAAAAATTCTCAATTCTTGATAATTTCATGTTTGCTTCAATGCAAATAGTACTTGACTGGACCAACTGATATCTAGTTCAGGATAGACGTTAAAGGTTCTAAATTGAAGACAGCCAAAAGTATAACTGCAATTTTTCACTTTTTTATTGATTTGATATAGATTTATGATCAGACTTTTTTCTTTGCAAGTAATTGTTTTTCTGCAATGTAAATTTTAATGGCATACAATTGAATCATTGTAACTATGACTAGCATGTTTATCATGCTCTACGAGAGCTCTTTCTAATACTCCTTTGTTCTTGTGCAGGCCGTCCAATTGGAGGAAAAAAAGAATTCATTTCCATGATTTTATGTTGAATGTGCATAGCCGCCTGCAGGTACAGCTGGTTCTTTGCATACCTGCAAATTTTTTTTATCCTGAGATTTTCACAACACCTAGTCAGATGATCTTTTAAACTGGTGTTTCCCCTCATCCGCTTGATGCATTTTTATATTCTCTGCCTGGCATAACATTCATCTAGATGCACAAAGGAGTATCAGATCCACTTGAAGTTGTCGCAGGAGAGATATCAGATGAATCCATTCTATTATGTGTTGATGAATTTATGGTATGTTCATGCATACTAAACAATAATTTTCTCTTTACAGTGTTGTTTTATGAATAATCATTGAATATGTCATTAACAGGTAACTGATGTGGCTGATGCTCTGATATTGAATCGTCTTTTTCGGCATTTATTCAGCGAAGGCATTGTGTGTTCTCTGATCCTTTCAGATTTACTAAAAGTATAAGTTGAAAATGCATTCATCCAAGTCCTTTACTGTATGCATTCTGTAGGTCCTTGTCTCAACTTCAAATCGTGCTCCAGATCAGCTGTATGAAGGTGGATTGCAGAGGGACCTATTTTTACCATTTATTGAGACCTTGAAGGCAATGGAATGGATATATTTGTTCAAATTTCCATTTGGTTTGCAACTAGTTTAAGCATACAAGGACTCTGCTGTTGGGTTGAATGGAAATGTTTGTTGCAGGAAAGGTGTGTAGTTCATGCAATTGGCTCATCGACTGACTACCGGAAAATAGGTTCGGTAAGTATAGTTCATTTCTTCAGCAATACAAATCTGAAGTTTGTCTTTGTACACAACTCAAAATTTAAACTTAAGTACTTTGATGCAGGCTGAGAAAGGTTTCTATTTTATTGGAAAGGGACACACTGGATTTTTAAAACAGAAGTTTCAGCATTTGATAGGACATGATAAACCTGGACAGCAAGTTGTAGAAGTTGTTATGGGAAGAAAATTGCAGGTCCTTTTTCACAACCTGACATTCTAAAATAGTTAGCACTTTCCAATGGCTCATGGTCTGGCATCGTTGTTTTTTTTGTTTCTCCAGGTTCCTTTTGGTGCTAATGGATGTGCATATTTTCCATTTGAAGAACTTTGTGATAGACCGTTGGGGGCAGCAGACTACTTTGGACTATTTAGTAAGTTATCTGTGTTCCCTTTTTATCTTTGTGGTGAGAAATTAAATTTCTTCATAGGCCGTATCATTGGCTTTCATGTTATTGTGGTGTTCTATAATTTAATATCGAATTTTACCCCACTGGCATGCAGAAAATTTTCATACACTTACCCTGGATGGGGTGCCAAGATTTGGGATCCACAACAGGACTGCAGCATATCGCTTTGTCACATTGGTTGATGTGAGTCTCATGATTTGTAACGAGCTTTATGATTTCCATGTTACAGAACAACTTTTCCATGTCTTGAATGAAAACTATGCACTTTTGTTGGATAAATTAATAGAGAATTTCTATATATTTCTTTTACTAAAGGAAGTTTTTCATGCGATCATTGTCTAGATAAAATAACAGACATTTATATGATTTGTTTTTGGAGAAAATAATATTATCTATGTTACGCTGATGTCAAATTCAAATTTTTTTGTCTGACTGATATCTTGTCTTTTTATGAACTTATTGAAATAATCTGATCGACGTAAGTCTCATTGACATCGAAAAAATTCAAAGTCCTCTGAATTCCAGTTTCTTTCATTTAAATGAACATAATGTATATTAGGTTCTGAATCTGCACCAATTTCATAGTGTTCTTTGACCTGACAATACGACTTCTGTCACATTTCTATTTCATTTTAGCAAAATTCTACTTAGAAGGGTTGAATTTTGTTATAAACGAGCCATAGTTTGTTGTACAAAACATTACTTCTGTATTTTGGTTGTGATTATACGAGTCACTTTTCAACAGGTGATGTATGAAAACAAGGCTAGGCTGCTATGCACAGCCGAGGCATCCCCAGTCGAACTCTTTGAAAGTATTGTGACAGTTGCCGATGCTCAAAAGATATCACCAAGAACATCGTCACGGTCGCAGAAGAAAGATGATGTTGATCTTTGTGTCGACAACGAGCTAGGATTTGCTAAAGACCGCACAATTAGTAGGTATGACTCCCATCAGTCGTAACAAGAAAGGAGGTCTTCCATTCTTGCATTTGATATATGAAAAACCAATAGTGCTATAATACTTTTAGTGTGTGCTACTAATGATATTGTTATATTTTCAGATTAACCGAGATGAACAGCAGGGAGTACTTGGAGCAGCATGAAGCCAGATTGCAGGAGAAGGCCTCTGGAGAAGCACATCTTAATGGTGTTGTTGTAGAAGCATGATTACCTTTTCTTTTGACATTATTCTCTATATAGTCCATTAAGGAGCAATTGATATCATCAATAATGTCATCAGAGGCTTCAGATATAAGGCAGAGAAGCCTGCTTACCCTGTAGATGAGGAAGCCCTGAATAATCTTGCTTACGATGAATCATAATGGCCTATCTAATCTTATTTGTATTTTTTTGGGTACGATACTGAATGTTGATAAATATCCTGTATTATTTTCTTATCTGTGCAAGCTCAGAACGAGTTTATATTAAATATCGGTGACTGATTTTGGTGTATGGCACTTATGGCTCACTTGTATTTTGGTAGCTGATGGTGAGAGCTTTGCTTACAAGCAGCTAAAAGTTCTTGAATTGAGTGTCAAGAACTCGCATTATCTGTTGCAAAATAATCGCATGCATTTTGGGGCGCTGAAAACATCTCATTGCATAAGAAAAGTCTACATAACTCTGATAGTGAAGCAGGTAATGAAACATTACAATGGATTTTGGCCTCCATCCTTCATTTGTTTGTCAGAGATCTTCCTTCAGATCCATGTTCATAGATGTTCCTGGATGACATTCCAAGTGATTTGTTCCTCTTCTTTGATGATGAAAGCCTTAATGATGGTTGCCATTGATGTTACGCTACAAGGATTCATATTTCTCTTTGTTCAGAGGTTGAACATCTAAACTGAGCAACAAAGCTTGGAATCAATGGATGTCAAACAAATGCAAAATGCTTGGTAACCGGTCAAAGGATATCTGCACAAGAGAGAGAAGGTGTTTTAGATACGCATTCTACAAAATGAATGCTTTAAACAAAGGTATTACTACTTGCCTATAATCCATTACATATTTTGATTTCCCAATCTTCCCAAGCTGCAAAATAGTCTGCTTTCCTTTCTCCTGTTCAACAATGTATGAACAGCTATTAATCTTCAAAGCAAATAAACGGGGAAATCTTGGGTACCAACGCAAAATTTGCCAAGAACCAAGCCATGCTTTAATGTGATTGATGCAGTCCGAGCAAAAAAGATATACCTCCATTGTCAACTGAAAGTTCTTGACCGAACTTTGAATTATTGGCCCTGTTCTTCCAGCTCTTTCTCTGAAGTCCAGTTCATGTCTTTTTGTAAACTAACCAGCACCAAACCAATGCATATTAGCATCACCAATCAAGTGAAAGAACTCTCATGCAGATTCAATTTGGGAATGCTTACGGTATTATAATACGGCACTCTCGAGACAAGCCGATTGGCTCTGTTCGAATTCTCCCCCCAGTCTTTTGGAAGTCCATTAATGTGTTGGATCTGCCATGGCTCCAAGTCCAAAGCCAAACATTAGATGCACACTCCAACTATTTAATCTCAGTTGGTCTTTACAAGGATGATCGTGGAATTCACCTGGGTGGTGTTCGAATTCTTTAGCTGCATGGATTGATACTTGGGAATCCATGCCCTCAAGCTTCTATAGTTCCCTGTGATTGTAGTTACTGTAGGAAGGTACCTGTCATAACGAATGCATTTAGATCACTCCTGAAAAAGATGATGAGACGCATCCTGAATTCATAGAATAAACCATAGACCAAGTTTCCTCACACTACAAGCCCGAGAAGATGCCTGGAATGCTTCTTTCTAGGATCAAATCTGTTCCCCTGCAGCAAAAGAAGGGAGAATTATTATGCATGATGTCAAGTCCCTGCTTACTGTCAAATTGAACCATGAGCTCCTCTCTCTCTCTCTCTCTGTATCAAACTTCAACATGAATGCAGAGATGTCAACAACCTGATCCCAAATTTGATATTTTGATCCCATGAGGTTCGCTGTTATACTGCCCAAGAAGCTCTCATCTGAGTTGCAGAATATTCCGTTTGGATTCTGAGCAACAATGAACTCAGACCTGCCATTTCGCCTTCTGTGCCATGCAACAGCCAGTTTCCGATCTTGTCGTCCCTGGCCCTCCTGCAATATCCAATCGAGATGATAACTCTCAGAAGAACTAAGCATTTTGTAGAGTTTTTGAGATTATTCAAGTAGAAGAAATCTTGTCAGAGAAGATTGAATTCTTGCAAAATCCCAACTTTCTTACAACTCGTTCTTAGAGTTTCTGTGTTGGTATGCATCGAAGAAAGCTTTAACAATATGTCATGCGGGGATGGATCATTAGAATGCCACAAACATCTTCCCAACTGAGATTGTAAGTGGAAAGCTCACATTGGTGTAAAGTGTGTAGAAAGACATCCCACTCCTGCCTTGTGTTCTCTCCTTGAATATGATGCAAGTGCATCTCCCAACATCCAGAGGCAGAGGCCTATACAACAAGGACCTGCACACACACACACACACACAGCACGATTATTGCAGCTTAGCTCAACCATCCCCGCGTAGGTCTCTGTAACGCTCACCTGTTGGGAAGAGTGGACCAAGACGAGGCCGGCGCGGATTCGGAGTCGGAGAACTGATCCCACACGTCCGACGAGGAGGATAGCGGTTCCCACGGCTTGGGCGGCCCGAGGAGCGACGACGACGACGACGATGGTTGGGGCGGCTCGTTCAGCTTCATGCAGAGCTGCAGGGAGGACGGCCTCAGCGCGGGCTTGACGTCCAGCTTCTTTCCCTTGCAGGCATTTAGGCTGACGACGGGGACGAGGTTCTCCTTGTCGGGGTCGAGGAGGGGATCTTGGCAGCGGGATTGGTGGGGCGAGGCGGAGTTGCGGTGGTGGGAGGAGGGCAGTGGATGGGGCTTCTTTGGAACAGCAGTCATCGCTAGAGAGAGAGAGAGAGAGCCAAGTGGGTTAGGGGCTTCTTCGACGGGTTTTATGGGTGTGGAGTTGGTGGGGTCAGCTGTGGGTTCAAATTTGAATGAAGTCTGGGTAAGAAAGAGGGGAGGGGTTAACGGTTAGTAAAACCTTGGGAAGTGCATCGTACACTTGGTTTGGAGTTATTTAATGATTGCTTCGGGCGGTGGGAGGGCGGGAAGGTGACTTGGTTTTGAATCAGACCGGCCGAACCCGGCCTGACCTGAAAACTTTGGGCCGATTTGCCATGCCTAGTCCTCAAAGGCTCCGTTTGACCCGGCCCATCTGATTCTATTATCCGGTTTGGGCTTGGCTGAATGGACCGGTCCCGGGCGGGCCAATGCCAACTCTTATCCACGAGAGCAGGAAACCCCGTGCGTTCGACCTGATAAGAGGACGACGAACCTGAGCCGATGGAACGGAACAAACAATGGCCTCATCGTCTCTTTTCGTCGTCAAGCTCTCTCCCCTCGCGCTACCGCCACTTCGCTGCTCTAATGCCGTCCGTTTCTCCCCCTCTCCACTTGCAGTCTCTCTCAAGAACAAGCTCACCTCCTCCGCAACCCTATACGGGTCTCCTCTGCTGCTCCGGAGAACTCACTCTCCGATCCCCTCTTCTTCTTCTTCTTCTTCCCTCTGTCGGAGATCTTCGAGTCTCGTGGTCTTTGCTGCCAAAGGATACAAGATGAAGACCCACAAGGTACCTTCTTTCCTGCTTCTGTAGCCTCCTTGATGCCATCTGAGGGTAAGTGGTTGTTCCCTTTTCTTGGCTGGAAAAGGCCTCCGCGAAGCGGTTCCGGGTAACGGGGCGGGGGAAGATTGTGAGGAGGCGGGCGGGGAAGCAGCACTTGCTGGCGAAGAAGAACACCAAGAGGAAGCTCCGGCTGTCCAAGATGGTATGTTTCAGATTGTAATTTGGGTACTGATAGTGCTTGCTTATAAGAATTGGAAGCAATTTGTTTTGACCCAAGTTAATCCTTGTGGCTTTTTTCCCTTGCATAAGAAAGGTGGGTGATTTTGCAGATTGCTGCCTATGAAGAAACTTTTAACATATGCTTAGTTACATTTAAAGGACTCTTCTTTCTCCCTTCCTGACCTACAAATATATGTATGCAGGGCATAAGATTGGGTGGATTTCATATACTATGTGGCAACATGAATTCCATGCAGGAGAATGTTGTCATGATTTGTCAATAGAAGATATCATAATTATGAACTTTAGAGCATGGATTTGCTTCTGCTAATATCCGATAATTGACAACTTTCATTCTCTAGAATTATTTGTGAGTTGGAGATCCTGTTACATAGGCCTCAAAATCAACTTAAACTTGAAGTTTTTTGCTTTCTTACATGCCATTTTATGTGCTCTGACTAACTGAGAATAAACCAACAATATGTTTTTTCCCTCTTAAAATCATGCATATAGTGAGGTTGCTCGGATGAATTAAATTATCCTTGAGCAAATTGTTGTAACCTAAATTCCAGAATACAATGTAGAGTATACAAGTAAAGAACGTTTTCTTCTGTGAATTGAACAGTCATCTAGATATGCTAATTTCCAGCTCATTAGTGGAGCTTCATGAGCTTCATGTTGGTCACATGACATTAAACCTTGATGATGTTTCGTGAGCCTATGAAATATGGACCATGAAGCTTACTGAAATGTTTCTCATTATTTTTGATGTGTTTTATAAATCCCATAGTCATGCCTTGAGAAATGGATTATCAATGCTTGGCATTTTGGTATCTAGCATGTTGCTTTGGATTTACTGATTGCTCAAGTTTTTTGCATTTGGGACAATCACATATCTTTGTTTTCTACCATGGTGAAAACATTTAGTTTGTTAGTTTGATTCCAAGAACTCTGGTTATAATTACCTGCAAAGTTTTCTATTGGTAACTGATTGGTCAAGTTAATTAATTATGTATGACCTTGAGTAGTAAGATAATGACAACAAGAACCTTTTTGTTTTCCCTTTTTCTTTGTGAAGGAAATAAAGGGTTTCCTGTTGTCATTGTCCATTGTTTAGAGATGATATCCTTCTAATCATGATCATACAGAATCTTGACTTAAATCTTTCTGATAAAGAGGATAACTATGTGGGTGTTCTTGTTGGATAGCCACTAGGAATCATAGTATATGGAGAGTAATATATGATTATGATACACGCTAAATTTTGTTTGCAGCATCCAGTAAACAAGAGTGACTACGACAATGTCATTGGTGCACTACCGTACCTCAAAGTGAATCGAAACGCAACCTGAGAGGCTCTATTCATGTTGGTGGACCTTTTTTCTTGATCTTTTTACACCCTGTGCTACTATTGATTTGATAATTTATGCTGCCTTTGCCCTGATTTACTCGTGTTTTGCAAGTTCGATAACTGTAAACATGTCATTCACTCTGTTCTCTTCGGCTCTGGTGAAAACTTGTGCATTCTTGAGATCGACCAGTTTGGTGAAACTAATCTTCCTTTGGAATTTGATTGTTTTTATCTTGGGTCTCCTGTGATAGGGGATTATAATTTTAAGAGGATCTGCTGCTAAAAAAATTGTAGAGAGGTGGTTTGGTTCATCACCATCTAATTATAGCTTGCTGGGTCAGCTGTCCAAAAATTTGCACTGGAGAGATAAGTACTTCTGTTAATGTAATGCAGGCTGGTATTTGAGATTTAAGTTTCGAGTTATGTGCAAATGAAATGAAAGGAAAGCCATAGCTAAGTATGGAGAAAGTGTGAAGTAACAATGTCCACTAAAGTATTTGGGCTACTATAATTGTTTTGCAAAATTGTATGTCTATGAATACTTCTACAATTTAATAATATACTTCTTTTAATTTAAATTTTACATATATGTTCATGCAAGATCCAAAACCTTACATGTGTTTTTGTAGTTAATCTGTAGTTAATCTTTGTTAGTTGATAATTTTAATATCTTCTGGAAACTCCCTTAGAATTCCAAGGGTGTTTTCAGTATTTTACATTTTAACTCTCTTTTAAATTTACTCTTTCATATTTGTTAAACATGATTAGTAATGAATATTTTAAGTTTCATGGAGAATTTTGTATGTATGTATGGATGTACACATATGCTCTTCTTGGCTTATAGAGCTAATAAGTTTTTATTTTTGAAACGGAGAAAGTAAATAAATAAATATTAGATAATAGACATTCTTTATAAAATAAATGTTACTTGGTCAACTTCATGGTGGAAATTTCTCAGGGATTATATATATATATATATATATATATATATATATATATATATATATATATATATATATATATATATGTGTATGTATATGTATATGTGTATGTATATGTGTATGTATATATACATATGTATATATATATATATATATATATTGTCATTTATTTTAGTAGATCGATAATTTGTAAGTTGGGAGGCATTAAAGAAAGGATGATTATTTTAGAAAATATTTTTTTTAGTATTTGTCGATAATTTTTTGATCTATTTGTAACAGTATTTTGGTTATTATTAGTATTATTTTGATCTATTACAATGATTTGACTATTAAAAAAGTACTGTAAAATATACTTAAAAATATTATAAATAATTTAAATTGATTCCTAACTTCAACCAAACTAACTATATGTCTAAAAATATGTATTGTAATATTTTATAAGCAATGATAATTAAAGAGGCTTGTTATGATGTCCTTTATAATTTTTTTAATGAATAAAGCACTATAAAATTTATTAGGAAACATTGGAAACAAATCAAATAAAAATACTATAATAATTAAATTTTATATTTTTAAAATTTAAAAGTATTATTTGAAAAAAAATAAAAAAAATATTTTTAATAAAAAAAATTAAAAATGTAAATATTTTTTTAAGAATATCGCACTAAAAGAAACACATAAATCAATCATATGCTTTCTTCTTTGTTGGATTGCAAGTTAATTCTGTGTATTATTAGTTGAGTTAATTCTCTGGTTGGGCCCGTGACTCAGTGATCCGAGTCTTGGCCGGGTGGATACCCGATCCGCTAGCTGTCGTCTCTCACTTGCGGCCGATCCCTGTTGTTGTTTCGATCCGCTACGGTGTGCGATCAAGTTCATCATGCTTCGTAAATTCCTTGATCTTAATCTGACGGCGGGAGAAAGAAGCCGCAGACCTTACCACGCGTCGGATCCCTGTCTTTTCGATCCGCTACTGTGTATACCATCAAGTCCGTCATGCATTATAAATCCCTTTATCTTAAGCCAACGGCGGGAAGAAAGCGACCCCAAGACTTACCATCGCGAGCTCAATAGTCTCTCCGTACCATCGTTCCCAGCCCCAAACCTAGACGTCGGCCGGGGATGCGCTCTTTTTGCCACCGCCACCACCACTGGCGGCCAGCGGCCCACTACCACCGCCTCTGATTTCCTACAAGTCCACTGGGCTTATTTTCCAGTCAGCACGGTTCGTTCCTCGTCTTTCTTTTCTTCTTTCCTGAGATTATTTAGGTGTTAAATCCGTGTTTAAGCCTCATCTTTTGTTCTTGGAAGATATTGATGGCGATATGCTTTTTCCTCTTGTCAGAGGATCAAGATTAGCGCAAAAATAAGGGCAGGATAAAGAAATAGAAGCAGAACTATCAATCATTGGCCCTTCTTGCACATCTGAGAAGTAATTGCTTGTGACGTGCTAGAGTTGTTATTGATCAAGGCAATGCAGTTAAGGACTATTTTGCTTTGGTAAGACAATTTTAATAGTATATATATATATTTTAATAGATGAAGGATGGGAGTCGCCCTTCTCCCAATAACAGATGGAGGAATACCATAAAATGTCCTATGATTTCCTTATGTACTAATGCAATAATTATATCAAAATTTTAATTATGCACGCATATCATCATCAACATCAATGCAACATAACATACATAAAAGCCAATTATCCATACATATCATCAATATCAAGGTATAGTCGAACTCGATGGTACACTCCCAACAACGGATAAAGAAGTGTTTCTCCAATTGGATGAGTTCTTTGTCTCGTAACGGTAGGTGGATAGAACCCATTTCGTACTCCCAACAATGAATGAAGTAATGTCCCTCACTCGTCAAAGTGGAGAAACGTTCCTCTCAATAGCTGATGGAGAAATCATTTAACTGTCACATCTGACAACCTACTAGATCTCGAACGAAGTCACCCTACCAATATACTGACTTTCCTGCTATCAGCAAGGCCCATACATATCTACATCTCATATCAGAATTATATATCATTTCATAACATGTCATTATATCATCTTGGCTCAATCAATCAGCGACATAATAACAAGGCAGTAGATCGTACTTAGAGGATGATATAGGGGTTTCAATCTAGTGGGTGCTACTCGCTACATGATTTGGTCCGAATCTCCTATCATGTGGGGGTACAACTACATGGAGATCTCATATACGTACCAACCTAAGTAGATTACTTGTTTGCCTGTCAATCATGCATCAAGTATGCATGTGCATTTACAAGATTCCACAAATGCATCAATAAAGATGTTGCAAATCGATCATTTACCATGTATCAAAATTCAAACATGTATGTGCATATGCGAGACAACATAAATGCATCAATAGGATTGTAGGTCAATAGTATAAGTATCACTCAAGCATGATATGTTCAAAAGAATGACATAATCCTTTTAAGACTTCTTTTTGCTTATTCTTTTCACTAGTCGAATATTTGTGCAAAGCAAATCATGAGCTGAGCTAGCGAGGTGACTCGCTGGTATAGTTTAGGTCACACAATCGGGCCGTGTACCAGAATATGCATTGTGGATCATGTAGTGGGTTGATACTTCCAACAAGTCACACTCTACTATCAGACAACACCCTACACTCAAAGACGTATGATAACTAGCTATTATGAACTACAAGCTCACATGTTAGCACATAATAGTTCATGTAAGCTTGTCGTGTGCCTTAGGCATGTAAGTTTTGTTTTAGGTGTGAACCACAAGTCTAGGCTCTCCATGTCTGGTCAGACCCACATGTCAAATGTCAAACCTATTTAGGATGATGCACTACAATGACATGATATCAGCAATAAGTTACTTGTCTACATATGGATGGCGTTGTTAAATGGTTAAGTGCTTGGGTTGATGAGCCAAGTTGATCGCTTGTTCTACATGCAATGTGAAGTGCAGGCTATCTTAGGTTATGTAATGTCTGACTTGGATGTTGGGTAGTGTCACCCATATACCCTTGTGTTTAGTCAAACAATACCTATGTAAGTGGAACATGTGATCATGCTCAATGATAATACAATGTCTTGCTCATATGCCTAAACCTGTATGCAGGCTTATGCTTGTGTTGTCTTATATTTGGAGTCAAGTTTGTGCTTATATGTTAGGTCATGTGAGGCTCGACTATGAGTTTATGTCATCATGCAAGCATGAGCAACAATCCAGTCTAGAGCACATAACAACTTTGTGATGGTTGCCATATATAATATGGGTTATGGGTACAATTGGACATGATTAACTTTTGTTATAATGCAATTGGATCGGTACATAAAGCCCATATTGAGCGGTATACCACGGTATGGAAGACCTTGGCATACGATCACATGTTCTAAACACAAGTGTATATGAGCGACACTACCCGGTTTCACATAATAACATGCAAGTCAGATATTACATAACCTAGTATAGCCTTCACTTCATACTGCATGTAGTGTTGGTGGCCAACTTGAATCATAGACCGAAAGCACTTAACCATTTGATGACACCATCCATATGTGAACGAGTAACTTATTGTTCATATCACATTATCATAGGTGCACCATCCTAAATAAGTTTGACACATGGCATGTGGGTCTGACCAGGACATGGAGAGCCTAGACTTGTGGTCTGCACCTAACCCAAACAAGACTTACATTCCTAGGGTACACAACTGGCTTACATGTACTATCATGTAGTCCGTAATAGCTTATTGTCGCATGTCTTTGAGTGTAGGACATTGTCTGATAATATGGTGTGACTTGTCTGATAGCTCTGTGTCATGGATATTTGATGGGAGTTTCACACATGGTGTGATTTTCTCGGCATACGAGTTAATTTGTACCGGGAACAGATCCAACTGAAACGACTACAGATATAAGGCAGAAGTTACAAACCTTGATTGATCAATCTAGCAATAATCAATGATTAATCTTAGGGGGTGGCTAAATTTTAATGACATTAGCAGAAAAAGGGTAATCTAACCACCCAAAACTACTGATTCCATTAACACTATTTCGTAATTTTGGAGCATGAGTAGTAGTGCCACCTAAATCTTTCCTTTTATTTGTTCATGTGCAAGTTGACGATGATGCTGTTGTGGCTTTGATCAATAGAACAGGTTGGGTGTTGCCATATGCTGTACGCACAAATGTAATTTCAGTGCTGTTTATATATAGCATTCATGAGTCAGGAGAGTTCTAACTATGAATGCTAACCTAGATCATTGACTCATATAAGTCTTTTCTCAATCAATGAATCTTTGAGTTTATGCATTTACTTCGAGTTGTTTCATCAGCTTCATACAACCTGTAACATGCACAAGTTATATCTTGTTAAGCATTATTGACGCGAATGAAAATTCAGCAATTAGGTCTTACTTTTTAACTATATATAAATTTACAAAATGTGATAAAAACGTGAAAATATGTTGTAAGTGATGCGTATGATCCACATTAAGAAACTCTAACAAAATATTTGATTTAATAATAGTTGAGAAATTAGAATTAAGTTTTAATTGGTAGTAGGCTTAATACATGCTGTATTCAAATCAAGAGTATGGGATTACATTTGTACTTCTGAGCAATTTCTAGTGGTAATTTAAATATTATACAAGG